TTTTTATATTACCAAACTACATAAATTCAATATAATAATAATACTATCAGATCTTTACGTATTATAAAAAAAAATATTTAAAAATTATCTGGATAAATTAAAAATCAGGAAAATTGTGACTTAAAAATCGTTTTTTTTTTCACTTATTTGATCTGTGAGACAAGTAAGCTATGATATGTAACATTTTTCGGTTGAAATGATCCAGTTAACCAATTTTTAAAGGTTCGATGATATATTTATTAAAAAAATATATGTAAGAATGATTTTTTTGTAAATAACTATGACTCAATGAGTTGCACGATATTAACTCTTTTATTTTATTTTTTTCATAATCTTTTAATTACATCATTTTAAAAATATTAAAATAACCCAAGAATTTTGAAATACTACTTTATGTAAAAATGATTACATTTTTAAGTCATTTTATAAAAATAACTTTTAAACTATACAATTTTAAAAAGATTAAAATAATTTAAATAACCAGTTTTCTAAAAAGCTCAATCATTTAATTATTCAAAAAAAATGTAATGACTTAATCAATCAACATAAAAAGAGTTCAATAACTTATACAATAAAAAAAAGTTCAAAAACTTAATAATTCAAAATGAAACAATTTCTTTACTATTCTGGACTTTTTTCTTAATTTAAATTCAATACAAATGATTTCTATAAATATCTCATCAATTAAAATAATTAATTAATTATAAAAATTAATTTTTTTGAATTAAACTATTCTAAGTTCTTAAAATAATTACAATAAGATTTTAATAAAAAATATATATATATATTAAATACTAATAATAATTAAATTAAATCGATTTGATGTTTTGTAAATTTTAAACATATCATAATTTCCAAAACATTACACCCCTTATTAAGGGGTGCCATTAACACTCCCTTTTTAGAAAGGGGAAGGCTAATGGCACCCCTATTTTCTATGCAATCATTTTTTTTTGTTTGTTTTTTTTGTATTTTTGTCTTTTTGTTGTCTTTTTTTTTATACTAATTTATTGAAAGGTTAGAGTGTTTTTTTATGAAACCTCTTACTAGGGGTGTTCAAAAACCCGACCAATCCGATCAACCCAATGCGAAATAACTCAATCCGAAGCAACCCGATGTCTAATCGAGTTATAAAATTGTCAAACCGTAGGTATTGGGTTGATATTGGGTTACTATTTTTTTAACTCAACCCAACCCGATGAACCCGATATCCTTTTATCTCTTGGATTTAATATGATTGTTGAATTTCTATCGATATATATATATTAGACAATTACACTATCATGTATGCTTTTCATATACACATATTTTCAATCTATTCATATCTCTATATCATTCAGTAACTGTGAACATATATATGTAAATTTAGAAATAACTGAATGTGATATACGTAAGAAATATGAATAAGTTGTATCAAATGATTGATGATGAAAAAGAAAACTATGAGTAGAGAAATATCATATTCAAGGTTAGAAGAATATTTTAATATACCAAAGTATCAACCCGACTAACTCGACCAACCCGTACGGGTTAGGTTGGGTTAAGATTTTTCCAAACCAAAAGCATTGGGTTAGGTTGTTCAAATGTGTTCAACCCAATCAATCCAACCCATGAGCACTCATATCTCTTACTGTCCTCATATTAGAAAAGAGGTAAACTTATGTTTTATTAGCTTCTTACTAGACAAAGTGTAAAAAATACAAACAACTCAATCCTACTCACGGTCCAATCTCAACGTTCACACTCACTACAAGAAAAAGCTTCATTAGTGACCAAATTTTAGTGACTACTTATATGTTTTTTTTTAAATATATAATATTTATATACGACAAATGCAATAAATAAACTCACACCCCCTTCTCACATTTGGTGAGATTTAAACCTTTGACCTCCTAGGAGGCCAAAGACTAGGATACCACTAGGCCAAAGACCCTTTGGTACCACTTATATGTTGGTTACTAACTATGACATAAGTGACTACTTATATGTTGGTTACTAACTATGACATAAGTCACGATGAGAAAGGTCGTCACTAATTTGAACTTTAGTAACAAAAATAAATTTGGTCACTAATTCTCATGCAAAAAAAAAAGATTTTTCATCAATCTATTTTAATGATTAAATTTGTGACGACCATACTTTTCGTCATTGATGTTATAAATTCATGTGTTTAGTGACCAAAATAATGGTCATTGAGTTGAACGGTTTGATGATCAAAAAAATGATGATCATTAAGTTGAATTTTTAGCGACAAAAAATACAGTCACAAATTTGAAATAATTAGTGATCAAAATGGTGGTCACTAACTAGTTGGTGTTACGTAGAAATGTTAGTGACAAAAAATAGTGGTCACTAAGTTGGAAGTTTTAGTGACCAAAAATAGTGGTCACTAACTAGTTGATTTTACTTACAAATGTTAGTAACAAAAAATAGTAGTCACTAAGTTAGAAGCTTTAGTGATAAAAAAAAAATAAGTAGTTACAAATTTGAGATGATTAGTGACCAAAATAGTGGTGACTAACTAGTTGGTGTTATTTAGGAATGATAGTGACAAAAAATGATTGTCACTAAATTGAAAGTTTTGGTAACAAAAAAAGTAGTGCAATACGATGTTGTTTTCGTGGAGTAACATCTTACCCGATAAGTAAGTAATAGTGTTGAATTTTACGGGTAAACACTTATCGGGTAAGTCTTTGGTAAACGGCCCCTAACTTAATCCATTTTCTTGTAAAACCTACAATTAAATCCTCGAACTCAACCAGCGACTTTTCGTATTCTGTTATTCTTGATGGTTGTTCTTTTTGAAATTTCACCATCTTCTTCGTCAACTTATGATAATTATGACGTATTTTTAATTCAGCACTTGAAAATAACACAAATTATAACTAAAATATACACATTTTTGTTTATGCTATTTTTTTATTTTTAAATAAAAAATAAATTATTTGCATTTAATTTACAATCTAAAACACAAAACATACAAATTACTAAACCTAATACAAGAAATTAATTAATCTATATTAAATATTACTAAAAAAAATTATTAACCTGGATATCCAACCCGCTATACGAGCCGACTAATCCCAAGCTGCTTTGCAGGTAGCCCGGAGTCACCGCATTTGAACCTCCATGGCCATAAGAAGATTTTTGTTCCTTCTTGGATTTGAACTTGAGACCTTCGGGCACTTTTGATATTACTAAATGTATTATATTTCAACTTTTTGAGTTCTCAAATCTCATTGATCGATGTCTTCTCACAGTTGGAACAAGCAATGTGTTGGTGATGCATCAGTTTCTTCAAGAGATGGGGAGAAATGTAGTTCGTCACGAATCGCCTGAGAAGCCATGGAAACGTAGTCGATTATGGCATCATGAGGAATCATACAATGTGTTGAAACAAGAAAAGGATATATATATATATATATATATATATATATATATTATAGTTTCAAACGAGAACACTCATGTTTTACGAGAATGCGAGAACATTTATGAATCTCCAAATTATTTAACAAATATTTAAAATTAAAAGAAAATAAAGTAATTTAATTAAGGGTAATCATGTTATTTTGTATTTAGTTGTAATTTTGATCACATCCTTATCTCTAAAATCAGATACAAATAATATGCTGATTAGTATCAAATAATTATCACAACAAAATCACATAATAAACAGACAGAGCGATGAACGTAGACGTGATCACCGCGATTTTCGATTATCACAACATTATCACGTCGTTATTACAACAAAAATCACATAATTATTAAATGATTATCACATCCTAAAAAGTCTTCAATTTATCAAAATCATGATCACATTATTATCATTAGCAAAATCAAATCGTTATTACACTATAATCACATTATTATCAACAACGAACGCATCGACATAAAACGACGTCTCCGATGATAATAATAAAATTTAAAGGATAAAGATAAATCTAGGATAACAGAAAATTATGAATAAACACTAAATTATTTTCATTTATTCTAATTTTTATTATGTGTTAAATTAATTTGGAGGCTCAGCATTTATGTCAAGTAATTACATTGGAGAAGAAAATAAAAAAAATTAATTGGTCATTCATCATATGTTATTGTTTATTGGCTCTCTAAAAAAATTATCACCTGCAAGTTCCAATGGCATTGGCTATTACTATTTCTATATCTTGATTGTTTTTGTGCTTCAACAATTCAATGTTAAGATCATGTACTTGTTATTGTTATATATTTTTGTTGTATTTCTGCTTTTATTGACTATTGTTATATTGTTATGTTGTTCTAATTGTTTTTGTTGACTATTGTTATCTATTTTTGTTTCTATAAAAAATATTTTACTATTGTTTGACGATCAATCTATTGTTCTTATGATTTATGACGTGTTTTATGGTTTTGTAATTAATCAATAAATTTTTCTTCTAGATGTATTTAGTTAGATGTATTTAGTAATGTCTCTCATATATGTCATGTTCCATAAATGATTCTTAATTTTTACATCTTATTTTCGTTAAGCAAAAATAAGAAGGAAAATAGAATTTAAATATTTTTATAAATTGTTTGACTTATGTATCTTTCATTGGGATTCCACCATACTAAATGATTCTATTTAAATGCTCAAACAACCATTTATTGAGCTTGCATATTGTATGTTTAATTCATTATTTATTTTTATTAGATCTCAATGGATCATCTTTTCTTTCATATTCTTATTGATCCTCATTTGTCTACTTGTCAATAAAACCTTGATAATCTTTTCTATTATTGATCTCTCATTGATCATCACGATTACTTTATTCACACGAATTTTCTTTTTGCATCAAAATAACACATATTTCATGTTATGAACTAAATTTTTTTTTATTTTTTATACTCTTGGTTTCAAATTACTTAATAAGAAGTACGAAAATTTGAGTACTCTCTTATATATCTATAATAAAGATAAATAAGATTTCCTTAATCGGTAAACTATTAGTGTTTCTTGTGCTCCATTTTATACATACATTTATTGAATTTTTTTCATACTTACCAAGGGTCACTACTAGAAAAGTGAGCTTTGACGATGTGACTTTTAGCGATGACCTGTTTCTGCCACAAGTTATAGCGACGACATGTCGTTATATACTTTTTCTAATGATAAATGAACTCTTAGCAACGACAAAAGTCCTTGCTAAAATCCTTGTTTCTTGCAGTGGGCAAACGTCAGGAACGAGCCTGATTGTATGATCAAGTTGAGAAGAAGTCGATCAGAAGCCATGTTGTTTTTCTGGAAGATCAAACGTTGAGAAGGTAGAGACCATTCCTCGACATGACGATGATCTTGCTTATTTGGATCCTCTTCCTGCGCGACACGTTAAACCACATGATGGAGATGATGTTCTAAATGATGAACATCTTTCCCTACAAACATGTGAAAGATTACAAGTTGCCGGTGATGAGCGATCACCAATTGTTTAATTTAATGGGAATATACCTCCAGTTCTTCGGGTACAGATTGACATCTCTTTATCTATATATATCATGTCTCAATAGGAAATGCCAAATCTTACGCCAAATTCATAAAAATTGATGTAATTTTTGGTGCAAAAGTAAACCTACTTTTAATGGGTAACACCAAAATGTAAGACTCTTGGTATATTTATATTTACCTTTTAATAAAATTTGGTATAAATGAACAGTGATATAGCAAATTTGGTATGTCACTATTCATTATACCAAACTTGGTGTAAGTTTTGGTGATTTGATATCGAATCGAATTTGGTATTTAGCGTAAGACTTGATGTGCCCATTTAAGATGGTCTTATTAATAAATCAAAACACAATCCCGCTTCAGAACCTTTTTTTTATTTTAAAAAATTACGAGGTTGTTTAGTAATTGTTAAATGATTTGATGCAAAATGATTAAATGGTCAAAATGATTAAGAGGCTTTCATGATATAGTGCAAAATGAAATATAATTGTTTGGTAACTATTTACAATAAAATTAGAACGCTTAATGGTTGAAGAAGACTTATGATACAAAATCATTCAGAGGGTTTTAGAACTATTAAGAGGCCGACTTTTTTTTGCCAAACAAAATTCACCTCTTAACGATTCAAATATTGCCTCTTAATAGAACTATTAAGAGGTAAACAAACAACCTCGTACACGTCTTGATTTAAAAACATAACCATAAATACAAAAATTACTGCCTAAAAGCCTCATGAAAAAATGTTTGAAATGCAACATATCATTAATCATTCTCCCCCATTTCTATGAGGTTAAGAGTAACACATTGTTATGAGCAATAATTTATGGAATCAGTCAATCATCAAAATTGTGCAAACTTTCTTCAACTACTAACTCTCAAACAAGAAAAAAAATAAACTAACATTTTCAAGGCCTGGAAAATTACAGCTCCAGATCAAAGATGCAAATGCATCCTCTCCATCTCTTATCTTTACAAAACCATCAAAAAGATTGTGATAATTCAACACGATCGATCATCTGCAGTCTGCACCAACTGCATCATAAACGGACTTGAAACCATCTCTTTCTAAGCATTGCGCAAGTTCCGCCTGCAAATAAGTACATACCCATATTATAGTTGCACAAAACATACAAAAATTAATGTAAATATACAAACGGAGAAAACAGTGACGAGAAGAATGCAATTACAATAATACCCTTTGTGCATATCTTTCATTTATTCCATTTATATAGTTCTTTCTAAGCAAAACTTAGACCAGTGTACTTCCTTGCATAAGATGCATGAGGCTATAACATCAAGGATCCTCTTAGCCCATATCTATGTTATACTTCATTGCTTAAAGAGTACTTTGCTACTGTAAAAAACACAATTTTCTATACCAATTTATTACCAAAATGAGAGAACTCATTATATCCCACTCGAAAATAGGGTCTGGAGATGAGATATAGACAAACATGTCATCTTCACCACAGGGTAGAGGTTGTTTCCGCAAATACCCCCATGTTATGCAAAAGTATGAGCGATAAAAAAAGAACCAAGACTACTAAGCTGTAGAAAAAGGAAGAAATAGGCAGATATAATCCATCAGAAAATCAATCAATGCAGATTGCAGCTTGAGCTCTTTTTTTTTGCTTTAGGGCAAATAAATGCAGCCACATGCACATAAGCAACAGAATTAATAGACATTTTTCTTAAACTTTTAATAATATTCAATGCAGTTCGTTAGCGCACACAAAATATCATACCTTTATTTGAGGTATGAGGGCTGGGCCACCATAAGCAAATGCTGTATAAAGCTGAACAAGAGTTGCTCCTGCTCTAATCTTTTTGTAAGCATCCTCGCCACTGAAACAAGTACACATTTATGTAAAGTGATTCATCTACAAATATCATAATCATAACTAGTGCTCATTGAAAAACCAGGGTGCAAAACAGAAACGAACCTGCCCACACCTCCGCAGCCAATCAAAGGAATCTTTCCCTACAAACAACAAAAAATATACTCTCAGAGAGATTTGAGAAAAATATCGAGAATTAATGTTTCATCAAAGAATCAATATCTGCAAGTTTGTAGAAAAAATGGACAAATTTTGAAAGCATATTAGCCAACACCCTATAATGGCAAGGAGAATAATAAGTTAGATGACTATGACATGCCTCGGGCAGTGGTATTAGATGCACTTTTGTTTATAAACATCATATATACTCGTTTAAGTTTTTGCACAATAAAAAGGTTACTCTAATAACATAAGTGACCAAATTGCTTTATTAGGGTGGATATATTCATGATTTTTACTATATAACAGAGAGTGCAGATGTGGTTTTTTTAAGTTTTGGATATTAATCATATATCTCATAATATTTTAGAAATCATGGCTTGTCCAATATGACGTCAAACCATGCACGGGGAAATTACATGCAAACATGTTGGTGAAACTCGACCCTCATAGACAGCTCACTAGGTCAATAGTTAAAGATTACTCTAGCAAACAAGTGTGACAACTAATTATGAAAAATAAGAACTTTTAACCTTGTAGCTAAGATGACATCCTTCGCTACCATCATTAACCTCTTCATATATAAAGAAAGCAGATCCTAACTTGGTTCTTGAGGATAAGTTTGCAGAAGTTTGAAAAATGATGTTCTTAGCATCTCCAACAGATTCTCCAAAATTTCCCCAGAATGGAGAACCAAAAATCAAAATCTCCAAAAAAAATTACTTTCATCTCCAACATTGATTATAATGTTAAAACATTTCATTCATCTATTAAAATATTATTTCTCTCTAAATATTTATTTTTAAAGTTTCCTATCGGTGGAAATACATTAAAAAATTATAATACCCGTGTTCCGTTAATTTGTATAAATTGTGTCAAGTGAACTCTAGGCAGGATTGTGCATACATATTTATACCCTATACTTAACCAATTTGTACATTGAACTAGTTTTGTGACAAAACTTGAGTTTATATCTAGTAAGGCATAAAGTTGAGAATCTAGACTTGAAGGGTTAAAACCGCCAAATGGTTAAACTTTATATATATATATATATATATATATATATATATATATATATAT